GGGGGTGGGGGGGGGGGGGGGTTCTTTGGGTTTCTAGGCGTATAGGGTTGAAGGTGTAATGTAGGGGCCGTATTAATAATAATTAGAATATGGTTTTGGCGCAGATTATACTATAAGTCTAAAAAGGAGCCCTCAAAACAATACAGGTAAATATGAAGGCCCCTACATTCGGGACGGTGACGCACCGAAATCTGAAAAGGCTAAATGGTGTTGGGGTTTGGTGTATGTGGGGTTTTCGGATTTAGGACCTGGGCTTTCGTAATAAGCCTTTTGCAGCATGGGCTTGGATTGTGTGCCAGGGAACACACCTCAACAGCGGGGTCTTCTCGTAACCCTAAGCCCTAAACTACCCTAAGAAACGCTTAAAACCCAAACCCTCAAGGCATACCTTAACCCCAAATAGCCTACCTTTTCAAGGAATTATCTAAGGAATTCATAAAAAGGAACCCTACAAAGGTAGGTTTTTTAGGGTCCAGGGTGGGCGTAGCATGGCTGCCGGGTTTGCGGTGCAGGTCAAGTCGGTGAAGACCAGACCGTAACGATGATGTATGAGGTTCAGGGTTCAGGGTTTAGGGGTTTAGGGTTTAGGGGTTAAGGGTTTAGGGTTCAGGGTAGGGGGTTGGGGGGTTTGGGGTTCAGGGGTTCAGGGGTGGAGTTGTTTCGGAGTTATAATGCTGATTACGAGTAGTCGTAGAATCACGGCCCAGATTGTCATGGCAATCATCAGCATTATCGTGAGGTTTGTTTTTGTTTGCTGTTGCCCGGACGCTGAGAGAGTGAGACACTTGGGATCGTCCCGTTTTGGAGTCTGATTGGCGGCCAAACTGGAGCCGTGGCGCGAAGTTCATGCCAAGCTACCGATGAAGGGACCCCGTGAATACACTTCCTGATCGAGAAGCTATGTGCAGACAAAAACCCTGCGGAGTAATGACCCTGAAGTCAAGACGTGCGAGCTCCCACGGTTTCCCAGCCAGCTCAATGGTTGTTAAATACGGGATGCTACGAAAAGTGCTGACACATATTTAACGTGATGTAAATTCAAACCCTAACAGGGAAACCCTGGCATGCGTCAAACCTTGACAGGGCAACCCTCAACCGTTGTTAACTTTAATCCCTGAACGCCCTATAGATCCTAAAACCCCAAGTATGTGCAACCCCTATACCTTAAATCCCCTAGAGCCCGAAGGCACTAAATGCCTGGAGCGCTACATCCCAAAGCGTAAATCCCTCGGTACTATGGAAGCCTAACAGCCCTGATGCTACGATGCCTGTAATAATCAGGGCCGAGTAATATGGCCATAATAAGGTTTAACTTCGCCATAATTTGGGCGTTCTAAGGCCCTGAAAGCGACGAGGCTCTCGTTTTGTTTCCTAAACCCTGAACCCCGAACCCTGAACCCTAAACCCTAAACCCTAAACCGTAGGGTTTAGGGTTTAGGGTTTAGGTTCCCCGGCCAACCCTAAACCCTACAACCCCTAAACCCCAAACCCTAAGCCTGTGCAGGCTGTTGCGGTGTCGGCTGCGGTTGCGCCTCCAAGCTCTCAGGCAGCTTCGGGGATTTAACAACAGCGGTGTCTTAAGACAGATGTTTCATAAGGTTTCAGAGGATTTTTTATAGGGTTTGCGAGCTCGTGATGAGATATGACTAGACTATCAGGATAAATACAGGGTTTACGAACTAATGATTGGCTTATCAGGAGTTTAAAGGATCTTATATCGGGGCCTTATGCATGCAGGCAGATCATGGCTTCGCTGGCTGCCTAGAAGGTTCATGCAGGGTGTCGCGTCCGGGCCTCAGTAAAGTTCGAAAAGGGGCTGTGGGGAAAAATGGTCCCACAAAGGTCTTAGGGTTCTTCCTTCGGGGTTTAGAATGGCAGGGAGTCAGGGTATTGAAGGTTACGGCTTGGGGTTTAGGGCTTAGAAGCCTAAACCCTAAACCTACAACCCTAAACCCTAATGCCTAAACCTACAACGCTAACTAAACCCTAAACCCTAAACCCTAAACCCTAAACCCTAAACCCTAAACCCTAAACCCCGAACCTTGCGACCCTAAACCCTAAACCCTACAACCCTAAACCCTAAACCCTAAACCCCAAACCCTACAACCCTAAACCCTACAGCCCTAGAGCCCATAAGGCCCTCATCTGCCTTCGACTGCCCCGTGCCGGCGCCCGGGTTTGGGAGAACATGGGCGGCCACGACCATGGCCCGCCTCAGATGTTTAGGGGTTTAGGGTTTCGGGTTTAGGGTTTAGGGCTTAGGGATTAGGGTTTGGGGTTTGGGGTTTAGGGTTTCTGGTTTAGGGTTTCGATTAGGGTTTAGGGTTTTAGGGTTTAGGGGTTTAGAGTTTCGGGTTTAGGGCTTAGGGATTAGGGTTTGGGGTTTGGGGTTTAGGGTTTAGGGTTTCGATTAGGGTTTAGGGTTTTAGGGTTTAGGGTTTCAGGGTTTAGGGGTTGGGGTTGCAGGTTTTGGGTTTGGGGCTTAGGGGTTCAGCCCATAATATAGGGGATTGATTAATAATGGGGTGTGGGGGGGGCATGCTGTATTCAGATAGGGGCTAGAACGGGAAGCTAGTACTACTTATTCCGAGCCCTAAATGAAGTCCTGAAGCTTCACTTTATAAGGCCCAAGCCAGCAGGGATTCACTGCCGCTGGAGTCTGACATCATGTTTACCACCCGCATTCTGACTTAAGGATCTTGGTAATTGGAACTCGGTGTTTAGGGGTATATTATGCAGTAGGGAACTTGAAGGAACGTTACTACCAAATATTCCGACACCTATATTAGGTGATTAAAGCTGGACAAGTGAGAGTCGAATTCTTGCGGAAGGGGGCTCAAACATTTCCCCACGGCTTAGTTTTACCAAACCCTGCTAAGAATATACTTTACCAGTAGTTATAATAAGGAGCCACCAAAATAGTATTGATCATGATTTATAAGCCCCTACATTTAGACCCTGAGCCCTTCACCAAAAACCCTAAACCCTAAACCCTAAAACCCTAAACCCTAAACCCTAAACCCGGAACCCCGGCTTCGAGTCTAGGGTTTAAACCCTACAGGAAGGGATCGCCAAACCTGCTCTCGAGCTCGAGAGCGACGGCAACCTGGTCACTGGTATAAGGATAGCTCATAGGGCTTTATGGATATCATTAGGGTTTAGGGTTTATCGATATCATCTTTTTTAGGGTTTGGGGATATCATTAGGGTTTAGGGTTTATGGGTATCATCTTTTTTTAGGGTTTACGGATAAGATGAGGGTTTAGGGTTTAGGGTTCAGGGTATAACATATACACAAACAACTATATACTCTATAACCATCAGGAACACCAGGGAACACCATTGGTCATTACTCAGGCGTATACTGTGCTAGGGTTTTGGTGGCTTTAGGGCCCTGCAGTGAGCGTCTTGGCCCATCCAGAGGATGACTAGGCCCGGAAACATAGAAGCAACCGGCAAAGGCTATGCAGCAGAATCCTATAATTCCCACAGCCCAAGAACGCTCCCTAAAGAGACAGCAGCATCGGACTGCCCTTTGCAAGAAGCTGCGGATGAGTTGCTCAGCGACATCATGCATGTGCTGCGCCACCTGCGTCAGCTCTCTCGTCAAGTCTTTAGCTTGAATGCGGACCTTGCTTACAACTCGAGGGCTTTGTGTCTAGAAGCCAACTCCTAACCAACCGTAGAGGGGCCTCCATCAGGTTCTTTGCTTTCTGCATCTCGGCAGCGGCCTGGTGCAGCGATGTTCAGTTTCAGGAGTTCCGGGTACGGAGTTTTGGGGCGTCTAGGGTTTAGGATTTAGAGCTGAGGTTGCAGACACTTTTTGCATGTGCGACCCCAGAAACTATTTGCCGGACCCTCCCCCTGTTGCACCTGGACTACTTGGAGGTTCATGGGTAGCTATAAGTGGGGTTATAAGTAAGGCAACTATACTCATAACCCATATTAGGGACTTGTATCCCGACTTATTGACTACCCATGTACCTCCAAGTAGGCGTATGCCAAGAACCGACGCGCTGACTGTGCTGTGGACTCGCGCCACTCACCCCTAAACCATGAACCCTGAAACTCTAAAATGTCCTGAACCGTCCCTTTTTTGCAGCAGGCTTCTCTCGCCCGGAACTGCCGTCGCCGTGAAGCAGTGCAGCACTCATGACTGCACAATCCCACATAACATGTACTCATGACAAGCTATGCAGTTGGACAGCCCAGCTGTGAGGAATTATTGTACTCAAAACCACGAATGAAAACTGAGTAAACGCAAGGTCGTGGAAGGCGTGAAGATCACTACAATACGCATCATAAAACCATGCTCCATGTAAAGATCAATAACGAGGGCATAGAACTCCAATCGTACCCATAGAAGCCTGCCAAAACCCTAAACCCTAAACCCCTAACATTTCCTAAACCGCCCGGCAGTTCGATGAACCGGCCTGCTTCTTCTTCGCCCCGGCGTCGGACACCTCCTGGTCGGTGATTCTCTCAGAACCATAGGACCGCTACACCCCTAAACACCCCTAAGCCCTATAATCCCTAAACCCTCAACAACCCTAAACTAAAATCCTAGACATCTTTTAACCTCGCATTTTGTCTGACTTATTCTACGATCTAGGACTTGTATCCTAGGGTTTAGGGTTTGTTTCAAGTGCAATAGGGTCGAGGGTTTAGAGTTTGCAGCTCCCACATTCCTTTCTGGTGCCAGAGCGAAATAGTTACTCACTTGGGCCACCACGAAGATGTGTGCGATGAAAATGAAGGCAATAGATGCTTATTGCCGCAGTTTGACGCGAAAACTCAAGCTGCCGAAGTAATGCTGGATTCTGCTAGATGTCATGCTCAGCTTTATTTGTTGCAAGGACTGCCAAAAACCCGAAAAAATAGGCTGCTGGGATGATAAACAAACCCTTATGACATGACAGCTCGGAACACCCTCGTCTACTTGGAGGTTCATGGGTTGGTATATGTGGGATTCTAAGTACGCAGGGCAACCATACTTATAGCCCATATTAGGGGACTTGTAACCCCATTAATTTTTTACCCATTAACCTCCAAGTAAACATTAATCCCGTATAGCAGAAAGAACCCTAAACCCTAAATCCTGAACCCTAAACCCTAGACTAGACCCTAAACCCTCAACCCTAGACCCTAAACCCTAGACCCTAAACCCTAAACCCTAGACCCTAAACCCTAAACCCTAGACCTGGCCGCACCTCCGCGGCGACCTGCGTGGCTTTGTGGGCCTCCGCGAGCGCGGCAGCCACCGCACGCCTGGAGGGTTTCGGACCAGAAGGACAGGGGGTGGAGACTTCAGGATGTATTGGCCTTAATAATTAGAATGGGGTTTGGGGGTCCAGTATACTATAATTATAGCAAAGAACCCCCAAAGTAGTTTTGGCAATTATTAAGGCCCCTATATTAGGGTCGGTGAAGGTTCAGGACTCAGGGTTTGGGGTTGTCCAGGGTTTACAACCGATGGGAACCTGAGAGGTCACATGAAGAGTGGGTTTAGGGTTTCGGGTTTATATAGGGTTCAGGGTTTAGGGTTTAGGGCAATTTGAGGTAGGGTGTGTAGCAGCGATTTTGGTGCGTACATATACGATAAGGGTCCCTTGAAACATTGGTGAGTGTAGATTCAACTTGCATTTTAGGGGGGACTCGGAAAAATCACATCAATCTGAAAATCCACGATGGCCTATCAGAACTCCTCTATTGTAGAACCCCCGTAGCAGCCTTAGAGCAACCCCTGAAAGAACCCCTTAACAGAACCCATCCCTAAACCCTAAACCCTTGTTCTCACATTCCCGTGGACAAAATTTCACCCAACCGGCGGACCGGCCTGGAATTCTTCACCTTCTCGAGTTCCAGCAGAAGTTTTGCTTTGTCTTTGGCCCGTTCGTGCTCTTCTTCCTCCGGAACGAAAGTGGGCATCATGGGGTGTATGGCTTCGGGATACTTCGGTATGATCGCATGAATTTCGGAGCATGGTATTATACTGCCATCCAGCGCCTGATACCAACAGGAGCTTGCATAGCTAAATAAAAAAATATATACATATATATATATATATACAAGTATATACATATACATAGATAGATAGATCGATGAGTAGATAAATAGATAGATAGATAGATAGATAGATAGATAGACAGAACGCGCCTCTTCGAACCCCCGATCGCTCAACTGCAGAAAACAAAAGTGCATTGCTATCCTTCCACAGCAGAAGCCCAGCACCCAATAACGACTTGGCCCTACTCAATCCAGTCATGCCCCAACCAGCCATGTGGCCCTAGTTGAAACCGCTGAACCCGTGTTCCCAAAACTAAAGCCAAACCCAGACGAATCCAGCTCGCCATGAGAGACGCAGTGTACATATGCCACACGAGCTGCCTGAAGAACAGCGAGCTCTGCGGAACGCTGTCTCGTCAGAGCATCAGCATGAGCTTTCGCATCCTGGCGATGTCAAGGCGTCGGTGCCAAGGCTGTTCCGTCACTCCTTCAGTAGAAGCCCGACCCTAAATGCAGATCTTGTAAGGTTCTATAGCCGCGAATGCCAAGCTGGACATCTATCATGTAGCCCTAGCCCACAACCCTGAGCCAACCATACCCGAACCGCGAATCCCAAGATCGGAAACCTTTGACGCCGCAACCAAAACCCTAAACCCTAACACCCTAAACGCTAAAAGCCCCTCGAAAGGTGTGGAGTTGACTACCCAAAGTTCGAAGAAATCTGATACCGACGCCGAACTCAAAGTTTCCAAACGGTTTTTGTCGGCTCCTTTTCGCAAGGGGGTCCGTGCATGGAGGATGCTCGAACCCCACTTCGAAGGCTCATGGGCTAGTTATAGGAGCCTTAATGATTGGAATAGGGTTTTTGGTGTCCTTTAAAGTATTAATATAATAAGGAGCCCCCAAAACAGTGTAGGTTTTTCTTAAGGCCCCTATATTGGGGGCTTTTAAGTGGGGTAACTATACTGATATCCCATATCAGGGGACTTATAACCCCACTTATAGATAAAACTACCCATGAACCTCCAAGTAGGATCCAGCGCGCAGCTGCAAAGAAATGTGGAAGCACCGAAACTCAGAGGTCACAGCGTCTTCAAACCCGGCGGCTGTGCTGATTGGCTGGGGTTCAGGGTTTAAGGTTTGAGAGTTGAGGGCTTAGGGTTTGGGGTTTAGGGTTTAGGGTTTGGGAGTCTAGGGCTTGGGATTTACAGTAGAAGCCCCAAAAAGTTGGAAACCCAATAGCCTCAATCATGAAGAGTAATGCAAAAGGAACCCCTGCACTCATTGTCCTTAATCCGGTATCCAACTTTTTTGGGGTTTACTATAGGGTTTTAAAGCAAGATGTAGGACAAGGAACTGAAGTAAGCATCGGCAAGCCATACAATCGTGCTCTTTATCGCAACTTGCAAGTACCAGTGTCCGCGGCCTAAGCACCATAAAGCCCTCAACGGCTGTAAGTCTTATAAAACCCCAAAACCCTGTTATAGCCTAAATCGTGAACAGAAAACCCTCAGCCTTGAACTCTAAAACCACAAAATGTGAACCCCCAACCCTCTGCCTTAAAACCCTAAACCCTCCCGAAGGGTTCTAAGCACTTATATAGTGGAATGTAGAGCTTCTATAATTGGGAACTACTTATTGTGGCTTGGGCAAATCTCCTCCATAGAAGTACTCAGGGTGCTGTGGGTCTGAAACCCAACGCCCTGAATGAAGATTTTAGAGCTAGGGTTTAGGGATTAGGGTTTACAGGTGTAGGGTTTAGGGTCTAGGGTTTAGGGGTGAGTGGCATCTGCAGTCCTGAGCAAGCTTCTCTGCTGCCGCTGCCTTGCAAGAGTAATCTCTGATATTGTGGGACTTAGGTTTAGGCTCGAGAGAGGATATTACCGGGTTTAGGGCTTTAGGGTTTTGGGTTTAGGGGTTTAGGGTTTAGGGTTTATGGGGTTTAGGGTTTAGGGTTTAGGGTTTAGGGCAACTCAGTTTAAGGCGCCACAACTGCAGGGTTCATAATCGTTCGTGTATGGTTTTCGAAGACTTTCGAGAGTAAGGTGCACTGCTACTGTCCAATTTCGTAAGCTTGGCTGGCGAGCTGAAAACATCCAAAAGACACAGACGCTGAACAATCAAGGTTCTACACACAGTCACACAACCTATTCATGTCTATTCTACATTCCCTAGACCTTAAACCCTAAACCCTAGACCCTAAACCCTAAAACCCTAACCCTAAGGGTCCATATTCTACATTAGAACCCTCTTAAGCCGCTCTTGACACCCTGAGACGTACAGGCCAAAATCTCTTCGCGCAGACCTCATCGGCTTTCTGTTTGTACTGCTGCTCCGCTTTCTCGACCCTTTCCACCTGCGCATGGGCCTGGCAAAGCAAAAGCACGCTTGGGCTTGGGGCCTTCGCTTTACGGGTTTTGGAAGGGTTCGGGCAGTTGAGGTTTAGGGTTTTGAAGGTTTATGTAGGGTTTTTCGGGCAGCTTTTTTTGTTTTGGGTGGTTTGAGCTTCTGAAGGATTCCGAGCTTACCCCTCTCGGGGCGTATCGGTGGTCTTGCAAGGTCTGACTCTCTCAGCTTCGGGTGTTGGAAGATGAGGGTCATGGCTCACTGGGTAGACTCGGCGAGACGAGATGCAGGGGAATTAGAGGGACGGGGGTCCTGGGGAATGTTGCTTTCTTCTTCACGACTTGCTACAGCCTGGAAGCGGCAAACATAAACCTGAAACAGCTACGCGGCAACTGGTGTCGAAACACCACGTTTAGGGTCTAGGGCGTTTGGATTCTCGGGCTCTTGTTCAAAAGACTCTCTGGCCTTTAGGCTTTAGAGGGCCCTTGCAAACACGGAAGGAGAGGAAATCCCTAAACCTTAAACCCTAGAGCCACAAGTTTCAACCCTAAACCCACGAAACTGCTGCAACTAGGGGCTCACAAGGCCACCTAAACAAAAGGATCTGACTTTAGGGTTTAGGTTTACGGGGGTTTCTGCATATAAGCATCCTTATACCCCAAAGTTAGATCCTTACGTTTAGGTCACGAAGTCGCCGCCCGTCCTGGTCAACTTGCTTCTTTGCTTCGAGGGCCATCTGCGCTGCTTTGTCGTTGTTGGCGATGGCATCTTTTAGGATACCTTCACAAGTCCCTAGGCCCTACTTGTAGCCGGAAGACCTGCCATTTTAGGGTTCCTGGTTATGGTTTATATACAGTTCCTTAAAGAGGTAGGTCTTTCGGGTCATAGGCCTATAACACCCAAAGCCTGATCCCGAACAGCCCAAAAAACCTAAACCATAAACCGTAAACCCTGAAACCCTAAACAAAAACCCAAAACCCAAGAACCCAAAACCCCAAACCCTAAACCCAAAGCCCTAAACCGCAAACCCCAAACCCCAAAACCCAAAACCCAAGAACCCAAAACCCCAAAACCCTAAACCAAAATCCCAAACCCTAAAACCCGAAACCCCAAAACCCAAAACCGTAGAACCCAAAACCCCAAAACCCTAAAGCCAAAACCCTAAACCCAAAACCCAAAACCCCAAACCCAGAATGTAGGAAACCTCCTCTGGAGTCTTCCTACCCATAGGCCCTAAAGTCGTTCCTTTCTGGGGTTCATCTATAGAATCTTATAAGTTTCAAGGTAACCCTCAATCAAAAGGAACGACTATGGGGCCTATGGGTAGACGTTAGGATGCCCTCGTTGTCTCCTTCGACAGGAGGCCCCTGTTTGGCATGCGCTTTTAAGGTGAGGGGGACTGTGGGTTTCGGGTTTAGGGTTTTGGGGTCTTGGGTTTAGGGTTTAGGGGTTTTGGGATTTAGGGTTTAGGGTTTTGGGTTTCGGGTTTAGGGTCTAGGGTTTAGGTGAGGATCATGGGGCTTAGTAAGTAAGGTTATAAGTATTAGGGTTTAGGGAATTTGGACGTCCACCAGGTCCTTTCCAAATGCAGCCGTTCAAAAAAAAATATTGAAAAAGAACGCACCCTAACATAGACCGTTAATAGCACTGTATGATTAGCACTCAATTAAGTCAATTAAGATACCCGGTATGTTATGCTGCAGCGTTTGTCTTCGAAAGCTTTGGATCCCCGCTAGTTTTCTGTGGGCGGCAGCTACGGCCGTATTACCGCTGCGAAAAGCACAGCAATTGTTTCTTCTGCAAAGGCAGTTCCGAAACCCAATTCGAATCATCAAGGCCCCTATCGTATATAAACCAGAGCCCGGGGACCGCTTCGTACATACACGGCTTGAAACTGAGGGCTTACTAACTTAGGGCACCGCAAGTGATTCTGCCCAGGCACCGACGTTCTGATTGCGCACCTTCCTTTCCATGCGAGCGAGGTTCAAGCTTCTACGGGTTTTCGAAGGAAGCTTAGATTTTATTTTTTTGTTAACAAAGTGGCTAAACATACATCTTTGAACTTGATGCCCCGCCCTCAAAGCAGTAAGTTCCGGTGTAGTCCTCAAGGTTCCGTGGCTCAAATACAAGAACTCTGGAGACTGTTTATCCGAATGGCTCCGCCCGGGCAAAGTCAGCAGCTGAAGTCAACTTGCCATGTCCTTCTGTCCCTGGATAAGAACGACAAGAATACAATAGCACGAACGTAAACTGGTGAGAACAAGAAAAGTCATAACAACAACCGAACTTGATAACAACAACAAGAACAACAGTACGATAAAACTGTTAATCATCAGACAGGAGTACCAAAAAGTAAAACTAGCAGTTCTAATAGTAGAAGTAATGATACCAAAAAATGGTGCTACTAGTCACAATTAAAGAAAACAGTGTAATAGTAAACGCAGTACCGAACGTAGTCATAGCACTGAGGATAACAACAGTAGCAGTAGTAGTAGCAGCAGCAGTAGCAGCAGCAGCAGCAGAAGCAGTAGAGGCAGTGGTAGTGGTAGTGCTAGTAGTAGCAGTAGTAGTAGTAGTCGTCGTCGTAGTAGTAGTAGTCGTCGTCGTCGTCGTCGTCGTCGTCGTCGTGGTAGTGGTGGTAGTAGTAGTGGTAATAGTATAGTAGTAGTAGTAGTAGTAGTAGTAGTAGTAGCAGCAGCAGCAGCAGCAGCAGTAGTAGTAGTAGTAGTAGTAGTAGTAGTAGTAGTACGCGCGTAGGGCGTATTTGACGCTGCGTCGTCGTCT